CACATTTCGTTGTGTAACAAAAAAAAAAATAAAATTATCAATTATTTTTTAAAACCGAAAACTGGTTTATATCATAGTGAAATTAGCTGTTTTTCATTTTTCATTTCCTTTATTTTCAAAATAATGAAACAGAAATAGAAAAGGAAAAAAGGAAATAATGTTGTATGAGTAAGGATGGATGACAATATATTATCCTAAAATAAAAAAATAAACATTATAAAATTGGTTGATATTTAAATGAATTCTTGATACACATTGATCAACAATTACTTTGATTAACAATTTCTAGCATTACATCGTTTAATATGGACATAATATCAGCGCAGATGATGATGATAAGAATGATAACAATGATGATGATGATGAATGATAAGAGGAAAAAGAAGGAAAACAAGAATTGTTGAATTCTTAGCAAATAATCTGTTTCTGTTTTTGTTTTTTATTTGATATTAAAATATTAAATACAAATTCAACAAATGATATTATACCTAAATGAATAATAAACAAAATGTGCAATAATATTTGTTGATAATTATGTCTATCATTATTTTATTATCACATTAATACAGTTAATATTTAATATGATTTTATTTGTTTGTTTTTTTTTCTTCGTCCTCCCCCCCCCCCCTTACTTCTCCTTTCATCTTCAATTATAATTAGCATATGAAATTTGATGGAATTAAAAAAATAAGAATGGGAAAAAAAAAAGGTATGAAAAGGTAAAGGTAAAATTAAAAATGTAATAATATTTGTTGATAATTACACTTATCATATTAATACATTTAATATTTAATGTGATTTTAAATAATGATTAGAATTATATTATCATAGCCAACTATTGATAACAATACGATAAGAGAAGGATGAAAAATGTATTACAGTTTAAATTAGAATGGTAAAAAAGAAAAAAAAAAAAAGAAGGAGGAATGGAAGTTAAATGACACATGGATGACATGGACTGTATAGTGCAAAACGATACACCGATCCATTTTACGAAGCATTAAATTTAGCGCAACATAACCGGTTTCATACTAATAATATGGTGAAACACAGACATATCACATACATACATATATATATATATATATACATATGCAGACATACACATACACACACATACACATACGCACACATACACACACACACACATACACACACACACACATACACACACACACACACACACACACACACACAGACAACACGCA